ATGATATATTGTTTTAGTAAAACCAGTATGGAGATATATACTCAGAGATGCAAACAGGTAAGGGGGGAAAAAAAGTGAGAACATTGCACGGATCGGGGGCATGCTCCACACAGAGTTACATTTAAAGATATTTGCTTTACATGCTCATTTGTAGTTACTTTAAGGTATTTTTTTTGTAAATATTTTTTATTCCCTTATATGTCCAAAACTATTTTTTCATAAAAAAACAAAACAAAAACATTTTTTAACATCTTGTTGCAACATTTTACAAAAATCAAGATTGAATATATTTGGTCAAAATCCCATGTTATAAAAGATGAAGTGCTATGCAGGCTATTTAAGACAATATTGGCTGATTAGACGGCAATGCTGACGTAAAACGCAAAATGTTTGCCCTCTTCACCTTACATAAAATATTACACTTTTTACACATAGTTTTTGAAGTAAAGAGTAAAGAAAATACTGTATAAAACTTATTGAAACAACCAGGGGCCAGTTGCATAAACTTAGCCACCGTGTTAAGACTGTGTCTTAAGAACTAGTTTAACCAACTAGCAGCTGCCAATGGGTAACCAGTCTTACTCTTCCGATACAAACAAGACCAATCTACCTTTTCATAACTGAATTAAAAAAGCTATGACCAGTCTTGAAGAAAATAAATGAGATGACTAACTTATTAAGACTAGTCTAAACAGTTTATGCACCCGGCCCCAGAGTTCTTTATTACTCTTGTAAGACCCCCCCCCACCTCATAAAAACACTTCTCACTGGATCTAAGCAAATCTCACTGGTGACCTATTTTGATCTGAAAAAAGTGAGTTGTCACTGAAAGCTGAGGAGTTTGCTTCTGTGTGATCCTCACCAGCTTCAGGTACAGCTCCGTGTCCTTCTCCTTGAGTTTGGAGAAGACGCTCTCCATCTTGAAGGTGATGCCGCACTGAGAGTCGTCCAGGCTTTTGATGAAGTTATCTCTGTTCTCGGACATCAGGCTGGTGAAGCAGAAGAATGTGTCAGCCTCCGCATGCTCTACAGACAGAAGAACAGCGTTTGATGCACAACTAATCGATAGAATACATAAGAAAACACCATTGCATATCATTATTGATCAGATCTTTGAGCCGAGACTTTGACTGAGCGATCATGCTGAGCTCACCCCATGGAACCCGTTTCTACCGCTGAATACAAAATAAAAAAAGGTAATTGTGACTTTTTCTCCCACAATTCTTTTCTCAAAGTTATAAAGTCAGAATTACGAGATTTAGGAGAACTGGCCCCCGACTGAGCCTGGTTTCTCCTAAGGTTTGTTCTGCATTCTGTCACCGATGGAGTTTTGCTTTCTTGCCGCTGTCAGTCTAACATCAGCGAGGCACAATGATGACACGCGTGCTCGTTCCCTTACAGGACGTCACTGTCACACACACACACACGCACTCACTCACTCACGCAGGAGGGATACAGGTTTAACGCCTTCCCCGGAGAACTCACCTGAACCACATCCAAAACATCAAACACACACGGAAATCAACATCACACTCCTCAAGCTGCTCTAATGCCATTAAAGGAACAGTTTTCACTGGAGGAAGCGTTATTATGGTTTATGGACTCAATGTATTTTAGTTAAAAACGTCTTAATGCTGGGTAGCTGTTTGGACTCTCATTCTGACGGCACCCATTCACTGCAGAGCATCCATTGCTGAGACACTGATGCAGTGATACATTTCTACAAACCTGATGAAGATCAAACTCATCCTGATCTGGGATGAGCTGAGAGACCTTTTTGTATGAACTATTCCTTTAACTAGCAGGGTCAGAGAAATCTACAGGACTGACCACACACACACACACACACACACACACACACACACACACACACACACTCACACACACACAGATCGCTCACCTGCGTCTGTCCATCGCAGCACTGCTCAGAGCAAACAGACAGGTCATCAAAAGCACACGTATGTGCATGAATCAGAGACACACACACACACACACACTCACGTTAGTGACGCCGCTGCGGTTCCGGTTCACCGTCTGGGCTTTGAGAGTCGTCTGCTCCACGCGTCTCCGTAACGTCTCGTACGCGTTCTCTGGGTCCAGGATGAGCTGGCAGGGGAAGTCTGTGGGCCGCTGGAAAAACGCCATGTCTGGGTACAACCGTCTGATGGCAGACATTACACACACACACACAGACAGACAGACAGACAGACACAGACACATTAATCAGAGTCAACGTTAATAATAATAATAATACTAATGTGGAAGTAGAAGGTAAAATGCAAAAATACAAATGAATCAAACAGACATGAATCTGGATCATCTGTGATCTACAGTTTTTGAACAGTAAGATTTTTAATGTTTTTTAAAGAATTCTTGTCAGCTCACCAAGCCTGCATTTATTTGATCCAAAATACAGCAAAAACAGTAAAATTGTGAAATATTTTTACTATTTAAAACAGCTGTTTTCTATGTGAATATCTGTTAAACTGTAATGTATTTCTGTGATGCGCAGCTGTATTTTCAGCATCATTACTACAGTCTTCAGTGTCACATGATCTTCAGAAATCATTCTAATATGCTGATTTGCTGCTCAAGAAACATTTCTGATTATTATCAATGTTGAACACAGTTGAGTAAATTTTTTCAGGTTTCTTTGATGAATAGAAAGTTCCAAAGATCAGCATTTATCTGAAAAAAAAGCTTATGTAACATTATACACTAAAGCTTGGAGTCAGTATCATTTTTTTTGTTTTGTTTTTTGGGAAAGAAATTATATAAATTAATACTTTTATTTAGCAAGGATGCTTTAAATTGATCAAAAGTGATGATAAAGACATTTATAATGTTACAAAACATTTCTATTTCAGATAAATGCTGTCCTTCTGAACTTTCTATTCATCAAAGAAACCTGAAAAAAATCTACTCAGCTGTTTTCAACATAATAATAATAATATTAATAATAATAAATGTTTCTTGAGCAGCAAATCAGAATTATTATGATTTCTGAAGATCATGTGACACTGAAGACTGGCGTAATGATGCTGAAAATACAGCTGCGCGTCACAGAAATAAATGACAGTTTAACAGATATTCACATAGAAAACATAGTAAAAATATTTCACAACTTGCAAATGAGGAACAAAACTAAATGTTTTAATCAGGATAACAGTGAGTGTCTTGATTTATGAAGTGTTAATTTGCTCCTCGCTGGTTTGCTGAATGATCTCGCGTCTCATCAGTCACCTGACGTCTTTATCGATCTGCAGCAGAACTTCGTTGTCTTTGAAGTAGGTGTTCCACCGACTGTCCGGGTTCGGATTCAGAGGCTGGAGACGAGAGAAGAACATCACAAGAGCCTCTTCAGACATGTCAGGATCAAGGCTACGGTTTGAAGCCCTTTTCTTGAGCTGTTCTTCAGTGGTTAGACTGTGATGCTCTCAGACGGACTCACGTGATCCTCCAGCGTCACGTCTCGAGACACTCCCAGGTTTGCCTTGGCGATTCCCGGCTGGATGATCATCTCTCGCAAAAACTGAGCGTACAGATCCCTGACCAATCACAATCAAGCACATCAGCATAATCAACCTGTGTGTGTGTGTGAGTGTGATTGAGTGTGTGTGATTAAGTGTGTGTGTGTGAGTTTGAGTGTGTGCGAGTGTGTCAGTGAGTGAGTGAGTGTGTGTGTGTGTGTGTGTCTGTGTGTGAGTGAGTGAGTGAGTGAGTATGTGAGTGAGTGAGTGAGAGAGAGAGAGAGAGAGAGT